CAGGTCAACATCTCGTGTTGAAGCCTTGAGACCATCCCTTCAATTTTGGGCCAATATTGAGAGAAGAGTTTTTCCAATTTCATGGTCTTATGATAAGATTAAAAGAGGAATTATTTTTATTTGGTCCTTGATTGATAGAAAAGCTTTGAAACGTGATCCAATTTTCTATCATCATATTGAAGGTTTCATTCAGAGAAAAGATCATTATGATCCTTTCATTTTCAAACTCACTAGTGCCATGTTAGTCATTGGTTTCAGACTTTTCGCTAGACCAGGTGAATTAGCTAGACTCAAGTGGTGTTATGTTACAAAGCTTAGAAATGGTAACATCAAATTAGATCTCAGTGGTCACAAAACAGATTTCTTTCTACTAGAAAAGCCGATGACTATTGACAAGCATCTTGAAAATCCTTTAGTGTGTCCAGTGAAATTGCTTTTTGATTACATGTCTAATTCTGAGCGAAGTGAAGAATGGACTTGTTTTCATTGTAAACTTAATAAAATATAAGTTGAGTATTTTTCCATGCTCAAAAAATTATCACAATGGCCCCAACACCAACTACACCAAAGAACAACAAGAAAACGAAAGACCTTAGCTCACCTTCTGCAGGTAGCGAGCAACGAGTCATTGTTCTAACTCCTTCCACCTCAAATTCTTCTGATAGTTCTGCTATGCCTTCACCTCCTCCTGTTCAAGACACAAAGAAGAACAAGAAGAACAATCAACAAAAGATATCACCTGGCAAAGACTCAAACAACGCCAAGGTTGGTTCACAAGGTGCTTCTGCTCTCGCTTCTTCGATGGAATTGTTTGAGTCCAACCCATCTGAAGAGGTTTCTGGTAAAAGAGCAAGAGTTGCTGATGAACCAGATGATTGGTTTAAAAACCACGTCATCGACTCTTACCAAAGAATGTTTGGTGAGTCATTGAAAGAAGATTTGCCGTTGGAAGAAGCTGTTTCTCTTCTATTCGAAACAGCCAATGCTCCATACGCTGACAACTTGGAATTCAAGAATAGAATGGCTGCTCTTGAATTGTTGTTCAGAAAAGAAGTAGACACTCCCATTCCAGATTCATCTGGTATAAAAGATATTAAAAGTAAAGGTTATTCTTTACTTTTAACAAACTCTTTTATCATCTCTCAAATCTGCAAGCGTTTGAGAGAGAGTGATACCCTTGATTTACCGCTTATTCTTCAAGGATTTGAATTTATTCAGAATATTTCTGAGTTAAATCTAGTCTGTATTCGAATGGGCATTAAAAATGGCTTTGAAGCAGCTGAAAACTTCTCTAACAGCTACAAATCAGGAGGTTCACTTGACCAAATCACCTCCAAACAACAAGAGAAGGCCATTAAATCTGCTGAAAAAGTAAAAGCAGTAGAAACCATTGAAAAAGTCAGCAAATGGGCCAGCAGAACCCCTAATTTTCATAAGTTCCCCACTAGATACGATAATCTTAGTAGTACCGTTTCAGTTTTACCTAGTTGTAATAAACACCGGAAATTTATTTATGTTTTTAACAATAAAAGCTGAAAGTAGTCAAATGATGATATTTGAAATATATATATATATATATATATATATATATATATATTTTAATTGATGTTAGATATTAGTTGTTCCATTTATTTTTAAACTACTCCATCAACCTCCATGAATCTAGTTGTCTATTTCTTGTTGTAAGAGTTTTTCTTTGTTTTAATAAACAACTATCATAACTCTACTTTTACTACTTCTAATAACAGTGTTTTTGTAATATTTTTACAAAGTTTGTTTTTTCTTTGAATTTATTTTCTTTGGATTTACCATAAAGATTATTACTTCCAATGTAGAGTTGCGAGGAACGATGCAACGTTAGTATTACGACAAATTGTAAACAATAAAATTGAGTTGATAAATAATTTTATGCTCAAAAAAATTAAGTATATTGAAATGGTTCAAACACCAAGCAAGGCGAATATTTCCAACATTCGTCAAAGAGTTTCAGCAAGCAAATCTTCAACTTCTACCTACAAGTCAGGTTACATCCCAGTAACTGACAATGGTAGCTCAGCTTCACTCCCCTCTGTGGTTGACCCAACATCCAAAACCTTGGATAACAACCAAGCTGGTTCTGAAAAGAACCTTGATGCTATTCTCAACGCCATCACTTCTTTGGGTGAGAGAATAAAGCATCTCGAAGCTGTTCCTCCTGTTCTGCAACAAGCTAATCAACTTGATGAAG